GGGGGGATATGGCCCTAGGTTCTGTAAGCCTGGGGTTTCCAAAGGCCCAAAGGGCTCCGGGGAATCCTGGGCTGGCATCGTGTCACGACCTGTTCCTATACTTGAAGGGGCAGGGTACTTATTAACCAATTATAACTGTACTTATAACTGTACTTATAACCATATTAGGGCACTTAAGGGGCTTATGTTGCAAGTACAGTTATAATTGGTTACTAAGTACCATGAACCTCCAAGTAACCTCTACGCCCACGAAGCTGGAGATTCTTGTCGGGTGCAGCCCCCGAACGGCACACCGATCATAAGCTTAGTTGTCCAGTAACCTGGGGGTTTAAAGGTTACTCTGTGGGATGATAAGGGGAATATACTACCCCAAAAAGGTTAAATACTCTACTACTAGGTATCTCAGCCAAAAAAACCCAAACCTTCAAAAACCAAGCCGACGACCCTAAGTTGCAACAGGGAGTTGTACCATGCAACACAAACCCCAACGAGAGAGACCGAAACGTGAGCCAAAAAACGTCGAAACATTCGCGAAGCTCAAAATACGATACCTTGGGATGTTCCCCCTTACACGAACAGTCCTTTATATAGGGATTCTCGCACCCCCCCTAATTATATTCCCTACTAAGGAGCTGCTAGTATAAGGGGGAACATCCTAAACCCTAAACCCTAAACCCTAAACCCTAAACCTGGTAAGGAGATGTCAGTATAAGGGGGAACTTCCCGAACGATACCTTCACAAGTATGGCGTGCTGGGTTGCCGCGCTTGGCCATTCTGCTCCTGTTGGGCTGGGTTGGTTAGGGTTTAGGGTTTAGGGTTTAGGGTTTAGGGTTTAGGGTTTAGGGTTTAGGGTTTAGGGTTTAGGGTTTAGGGTTTAGGGTTTATGGTTTAGGGTTTAGGGTTTAGGGTTTAGGGTTGAGGGTTTAGGGTTGAGGGTTGAGGGCTTATATAGGGTTTAGGGTGTATATAGCGAGGTGTAAGAGGGCCCCTGCAGGCCTTGCAGCTCGGGCCCTACAATCCCACGACCCGTGGAAATGAATCCCTGTCAACCAAGCCTAAGCCCAGATCTACTATTTTTGGGTTCCGAGTTTAGGGCCTAGGGTTTAGGGTTGAGGGTTGAGGGTTTTGCTTAAGAAGAACCCCCCCCCAAAAAAAAAAAAAAAAAAAAAAAAACAACTGATAATGCCAATACATATTACCTGACAAGGAAGAATATCTTTGTGTTTTTGGTGGTTCTAAAGCACGTAGTAGAAACCATCCAACCCTAAACCCTAGACCCTAAACCCGAAACCCTAAACCCTAAAACCTAAACTAGGATGGCCCTAAAGACCCTCTGAAAAATATTCCTAAATATGATCCTCTTAAACCCAACAAGGGAAAATGTTAAATATCCCAAGGGCCTACCCAGTAAACCATTGAAGACGGCTGTGAAAACAAGCCTTCAGCTTGGCAAACTTCGTTTCGATCACCGACAGCAGCACGCTGTCTGGCAGCATCCTCCCACGGTTCTGTGAGGTTTAGGGCTTAGGGTCTAACCCTAAACCTTAAACCCCAAACCCTAAACCCTAAACCCTAAACCCTAAACCCTAAACCCTAAAACCCTAAGCCCTAAACCCTAAAAAAACTTCAGGAGGCTTGGATGTAGACGCCGGAAGCTGCAGGGCTGCATGTAGGGTTTAGGGTTTAGGGTTTAGGGTTTAGGGTTTAGGGTTTAGGGTTTAGGGTTTAGGGTTTAGGCATGTCACTGAAGTGGAGGGTGCAAAGTCTCTGGCCTGTGGTGGTCCAGGCCCTCAATCATCTGGTAGAAAGAAAAGTCCTTGCCACATCGAGCAGGGGGATCGGGAACTTGATGACCACATTTGCTGTGCCGACCCGACCTCCCTGAATCCCTAAACTCCTAAAACCCCCTAAGAAGCCTGGGTTTTGGGTTTAGGGTTTAGGGTGTAAGGTTTAGGGTTTAGGGTTTCATTAAAGACTCCCGGCAGACCTTGTAGGCCCTGGCTCACCCCAATGTTCTGAGAGACGAGTCCTGCCTCCTCGACACCCCTGTCATGCCCCCTAGCCCTGTGCCCTATAGGAGATTTTCTGGAGTGAGCACCCAAACACCTCAACAGACATGCCAGCACCCTGAACCGGAGAGGACTTCGCGTTTTTAGTTTAGGGTTGAGGGTTTTCCGAAAGCAAGCCGGCGAATTTCTGCCTGGGGCTCATGCAACCTATCTCCTCCTACCGCGGTTTAGGGTTTAGGGTTTGGGGGTTAGGGTTTAGGGTTAGGGTTTAGGGTTTAGGGTTTCCCGTGAAAAAGGTCCTCAACGCTCAACTCCTAAACCCTGCGAGATAGTTGATACCGAGAGGTATCTCGGGATGTTGGCCCAACATCCACCCCCCCAGCGTGGAGGGGTGGATGTTGGCCCAACATCCCCCCCCCCCCCAGCGTGGAGGGGTGGATGTTGGCCCAACATCCACCCCCGGCGTGCAGGGGGTGGATGTTGGCTCAACATCCACCCCCCAGCGTGGATGTTGGCCCAACATCCACCCCCCCAGCGTGGATGTTGGCCCAACATCCACCCCCCCAGCGTGATTAACTACTACTACGCAGCTGTAGGACCAAAATGTCACAGGTCAACCTCCAGACACGACAGGTCCTCCAGCGCGGCTATGCGCATCTGCTCACCGACCCTCAGCGCGCATTCGTTCAAACCATCCCCTAATCAGGTTAGGGGGTTTCCTTGATGATACGTGCATCTTTAACGCACTCCGGTAAAGAAGCCGACAAGGTTTCTGCAAAGGGACAGTTCTTTTTGTTTATCCCCTGAACTTCGCCAATACGATACCGGGGGTCCTGGCAAACCCCGTACTTGAAGGTCCATGGGTAATTGTGTTATAAGTAGGGTGATAAGTACACCTACATAACTAAGGCTAGAACCAGTGATAGTTCTAGTTCTAGTTAAGCCACTTACAACCCCACTTATAACCCACCCATGAAGCTCCAAGCAACCAACCCTTGAATTCGAGGCCGCGGCTTCTCTTTCAGCTGATGCAAGGTGCTCGACCGTGGCATCATCACCTGCGATTCGGGTTTCGGGTTTATGGTTCGAGGGGATCGCAGAGAGTAGGTTTAGGACCGACCGGCGGCCATACTTACACCATAACTCAAGGACAAGTGCCGATGTCTACAATGTTGAGGGAAAGTACACCCTTCAACCATTCAGATTCTGCAGAGAGCGCCTCTAGGGCAGAGACCTGCGGGGGGTGGAGACGCTGGGGCTGAGGGCTCCTAGGGCGATGAAGAAGCCCCGTCTGGATACTGGGTACATGTATACTGCAGGCGACCTAAGCCTAGGGTTACAAACCCCCTGCACACAGGGACAATAACCACACTCATAGGTAGTTCGGGATGCCTGAAAGGCAACGCTGGACCGCATGGGCTCATTGAAGCAGAGCTTCGCATTTCACTTTCTAACGCTCGGAAGACCCCCCGCCCTCCTCTCCCACTACCCCAAGTCGCGAAGGAATTCTGACTTCAGGGGTACTGCAGGGTTTAGGGCGGGGGTGAGGGGGCGCGTGGCTTCTGGTAAGGGCGCACGGATCTCTTTTCGGCGCGGTGGGTGAGAGTAGTATGGGTTCACGAGTCCACGAGCCACGGCATCAAGCATCCTCTCAAACAAAAGCTAAGAATTTCGGGTTTTGGATGCTTCAGGGCGCTTCTCTAAATTTAGAGTCACTTTTTGGGTCCTATATATAGTACGGCACCCTCATAATGAGGACCCAAAAAGGCACCCTTATTTGGAGAACTAGCCATGTAGTAGCTAGTAGCTGGCTTGATCCTGGTTAGGATGACTGCCAAGGTGATAAGGATGTGCCCTCGAAAACATGCAGTGTTGAAGACCCCTTGTGAACACAGACAACTACAATGGACCCTAAGCCCTAAACCCTAAAACCTAAACCCTAAACCCTAAAGCCTAAACCCAACGAAGGAACGACGGGTCTAGGCAATAGTTCACCTACGCACGCCCCGGACGTGACTGGTTCAGGGCTTAGTGACCATGTAGAGTTCAGGGTTCTGCGATGGGGGGTGTATGTTCAAGGCCTTATTCTCGGGGAAGCCTCAGCAGCTTCGAAAATGTTATCTCTCTGTGGGGGGGGGGGGGGGGACTCCTGGATTCCTAAATAGGTGACCCTAAACCCTAAACCCTAAACCCTAAACCCTAAACCCTAAACCCTAAACCCTAAACTCTAAGCCGAGGCATAAGGATAAGGATTGGGAACGCTACCCTTAGAAAACTGCCACCTTGAGGTTTCCCCTCATCTTGCGCCCCCCCAAGCCCCTGCAACCCTGAGAATAAACCCTGGTTTAGGGTTTAGGGTTTAGGGTTTAGGGTTTAGGGTTTAGGGTCCCTAAACCCCTTTAACCTTGTATAAACCCTGGATGTTATAAGTTTAACTACTTGTCGCTTAGAAACCCCGAGAGAACAACGAGGAATAATCCAAGAATGTTTTTGTGGCAGGCTCTTAAGTAACTGTAGATAATGCTCCCCTAGACCCTACGTCGCAGCCCTAAACCCTACACCCTACAGCGGCAAAGGATGCTTGAAGCTTCGGACATCGGAGCTGCTGATGAACTGGTGCTTCGCGTGCGGGGGGGCCCAGGCCCTAGTTTGGGATTAGGGGTTTAGGGTTCCATTCATACACCAAATCTCCTCTTGTTGGAGCTCCTGTACAGGTTTTAGGGTTGAGGGGATTCTTCACAGGGCCCCGCGCAGCATTTACCCTTGGAAGGGTGGGTCGATCCAAACTACCCGGCCCTTTTCGTTTCCCTGCCATTTTAGACTCGTTCTAGTTGCGGGCCGCGGGTGTGGAAAAAGGGCCGAGTAGTATAGATCCGCTGAACCCTAAACCCTAAACCCTAAACCCTAAACCCTAAACCCTAAACCAAATCCTAAACCCTAAACCCTAAACCCTAAACCCTAAACCCTAAACCCTAAACCCTAAACCCTACTTACTTTGCAGCTCGCATCTGCTTCGCCAGCAGAGGGAGAGCGCGGTGAAGAAACTCATACTGCTCGGCAGTCTGCACCTTGGACCGGCGGAGCTCTCTTCAGGTTTAGGGTTTAGGGTTTAGGGTTTAGGGTTTAGGGTTTAGGGTTCAGAGCTTAGGGTTTAGGGAAATTCTTAAACGGATTTGTGTAGTATAGGGATTCGGGCTCATGGTGTTTCTGTATGTCTTCGGTTGGTGATGAGGTTTGTTTCGGGTTTGTGGCGACTAGATAGTTCAGAGTTGAGAGCCCAGGGTCTCTCGGACCCTGAATCCGAAACTCGACAGCAACTCTACTAACTTGAAGGCTCACGGTGGTTATAAGTAGGGCTCTAGGTACACTCAATAAGGCTATAACAAGTTAAGTTATAATTGCAGGCCTCCTCAACGGCAGTCGATCGTTTGGCAAAGCTTGGACCCCTCTGGCCAAAGTAGGGCCCCCTTCTGCATCTCGCAAGGATTCAACGAAGGTATCTAGCCCAGACCCTTGGCAGGATCCAAAAAGCAGATCCCCTGTCCATCCCTAAACCCTAAACCCTAAACCCTAAACCCTAAACCCTAAACCCTAAACCCTAAACCCTAAACCCTAAACCCTAAAACTGAAACTTATACAAGGTTCTATCTTAGGGGTTCTACTTTTTGGATCGTCCCAAGGGTCTCGGTGTTTAATGGGGCAGTGAAGGTGCCCGTCCGGCCATGACCAGCCCCCAACTGCACCCACCCGGCAAAGCCTGCCTCCAAAGCCTTCCTTGTGCGGGTTTAGGGTTTAGGGTTTAGGGTTTAGGGTTTAGGGTTTAGGGTTTAGGGTTTAGGGTGAACCTTAACCCCCCCCCCCCACCAGCCACTCTTGCTTGGGAACCCGGGCCATGTTCATCCGGCACTGTCGCAAGTGCCCGATGAGCCTCTGAGGCGCACCGGGGTTTAGGGTTTAGGGTTCAGGGTTCAGGGTTTAGGCGGTTTACAGTTGTGGGTTTTACAGGGGCTTGAGGTGTTTAGGGTCGAGGCTTGAGGAGTTTGAGGTGGCAGTAGGTTAAAAGTTAAAATTTACCCTAAACCCTAAACCCTAAACCCTGAACCCTGAACCCTAAACCCTAAACCCTAAAGGATGTATTCTAAGGGCGCAGTTGCCTTTAGGCTTCGTTTCCGAATCGGCGGCTGCGACGGCAATCGAGGCCCCCCTGGCCTGTCGGGACTGCAGCAGCTCACCTGGCCACTTCACGGTGTGGGTTCAGGATTATTCTACACTGAACACTAAACCACTTAACCCTTGAACCCTTCAAGCCTCAAACCCTTAAACCCCTAAACCCTTGAACCCTTAAACCCCTAAACCATTAAACCCTTAAACCCCTAAACCCTAAACCCGAAACCCCTCAACCCTAAACCCAAGATTCACCCTAAACCCTAAACCCTAAACCCTAAACCCTAAACCCTAAACCCTAAACCCTAAACCCTAAACCCTAAACCCTAAACCCTAAACCCTAAACCCTAAACCCTAAACCCTAAACCCTAAACCCTAAACTAAACCCTAAACCCTAAACCCTAAACCCTGAGGAACTTTGGGTTTAGGGCTCTGGGAGCTTTGGGACCTGTCCTAGGAAGCATCATGAACAACGAAAGAACCGACAGCCTAAGCACCGAAGCCTCAAACCCTTAAACCCTTAAACCCTCAAACCCTCAAACCCTCAAACCCTTAAACCCTTAAACCCTTAAACCCTAAACCCTAAACCCTCAAGAAAAGTGCCCCAACACCCCAAGAACGCCAAGAGAACCCTGTATGTGAGCTTCTATAAAACCCTACAGACCCTTAAGATCTATAGGCTTCAATACAAACCCTATATAAACCCGGGCCCATATAAACCCCACATAAACCCTATATAACACCTATAGAAACCCTATATAAACCCTACAAAAACCCCGCATAAACCCCAAATTAGACCCCAGATAAACAGCATATAAACCCCATAAAAACCCTATACAAACCCCATATAAACCGCATGTAAACCCCATATGAACCCCATATAAACCTCATATAAACCCCAAATAACCCCCATGTAATCCCCATGTAAACCCCATATAAACCCTAAGCTGCCACCAGCTGCGCCTCGCCGCGCGCCGCTGCGCGGCCACCGGCATCGGCGGCCACAAAGACGCCTGTTGCTTAGGGGCTCGAAGAGCCCCAGGAAAAGGGGTTTAGGGTTTAGGGTTTAGGGTTTAGGGTTCAAGGTTTAGGGTTTAGGGTTTCGGGTTTAATTAGGGTTTAGGGTTTAGGGTAAACAAGACTGAAGCAAGAAGTCCAGGGTTTGGGGTTGAAGAACTTAAGGCTAATGCTTCGGGATTGAGGATCGACCCTTGGTTCACAATGAGGAGCTTTAGATTTAAGAACGATTCCTCAATTTAAGGGGGCACGAGGTTCCAACAACCGAAGTCTTCAACTTTGGTCTACAGGGTTTACCCCTGGTTCTTAGCAGGGAATGAGGGAAGTAGTGCCCTATATATATATATATATGTAGGTATACATATGTTTATCTATTTATTTATTCCAGTATCTGAGTCTTTAGATATGAGTCATGAGCATCCAAGCCCTAAACTACCTGGTTCTTAGTAGGGAATGAGGGATTAGGGTCCTATCCATACCCTTTAAGGGATAAAACAGGGCACCTCATTCCATCATTCCCTACTAAGAACCAGCCAGTTTAGGTGTTGTCCTCGGGTTGAGGGCTTCGGCTGATGGAAGGGAGGGGTGGGGTGTGTCTGGCTTAGGAAAGGTGGGGGTAAACCGTTCATAACATTGGACCTCTGTTTCTTGAAACGGTGAACATCTACTATATTCTGATTCAGTGACTCTTTGCCCGGAAAAGAGACTTAAAAACCCTGGACAAAGCCCGATGCGTGACTTGTACAAGGTGCTGGCGACGGAAGACTGGCTCGGCTCGATGCGCTGGCTCGCTAAACGCCCGAACCTCTACCCGCCCCCCCCCCCCCCCCCCCCGCCCCTCCCCCTCAAACAAAACTCAGAACAAATTCTCAGGACCTTGACAGGCTGCCCACTTGCACGACCCTAAACCCTAGAATCCAAACCCTAAACCCTAAACCCTAACTCCAAACCCTAAACCCTCAAACCTCAATTCCATCCCATCACGCGCACCCTGAGCCCAATTTTGGAGTGTTGCCTTTCGGCCGGGTTAGGGTTTAGGGTTTAGGGTTTAGGGTTTCGGGTTTCGGGTTTAGGGTTTAGGGTTTAGGGTTTGGGGTTTAAAGTTTGGGGTTTGGGGTTTGGGGTTTAGGGTTTAGGGTTTAGGCCGGAGACTTCGTGGGGTCAGGTTTTACAGAGGCTGTGAAGGGTTTACAGGGCTGCAAAGGGTTTACAGGGCTTGGGGTTTAGGATGTTTTGAAGCCCTAAACCCTAAACCCTAAACCCTAAACCCTACAAACCCCTCAACCCCACACCGCGGTTTACAGATTACAAGCTTACAGAGACACTGGGTGGCTCGCCGGCTCGGCCGATGCCGCCAGCACAATGCACCAGCCTCCGAGGACACAATAGGCACTGAAACCTCGAGCCTGTGACTTAAGCCCTTCTAGCCCTAAACCATAAACCCTAAGCCCTAAGCCCTAAACTCTAAACCCTAAACCCTATTGTCCTTGACCCTGAGCCCCAAAACCTGAACCCTAGAAAACCCAAGAACCCTACCCCGAAACTTACCCCCTACAATAAAGCCAACGCTAAACCCCGGAGCCTGCCGGGTCCTAAACCATGAGACCTTGCACCCGAATCCCTGAACCAGGGTCTACGATGCTTTAGCTCTTGCACCAGGAGATTCAAGGGTTTGTGGTTAAGGTTTAGGGTATAGGGTTTAGGGTTTCGGACTGAATGTGACGCACTTCCCGACCCAGGGCCGAAATCCCCCAAACCCCCTAGACCCAAAACCCAAACCTGGCAAACGCCACATAGGGTTAAGGGTTAAGGGTTAAGGGTTCTCAAAGTGATGGTCCCTTTCTGTGTACCCGAAGTACTAGGGGCCACCTTGTAGTAGCAACCCCCAAAACGGACCATGCTCTAGAGCAGTGGCTTCATCAGAAAGCCTGAAAAGGGCTTTAACAGGGCTGAGAAGGCGCACTGCCCGAAACTCAGGAGAAAACGAAACTCCTCAAACCAGATAGATAGATGATTCCTGAGGACCAATTCATGGAGCATCCCTCAACCACGGAGTATTGGAGTCCCTGGGCAACACCAAACCATCTTCAAAGCTCCCGGAAAAAAAAAAGTTCAGATTCGGATTACTTGTTGCATTTAGGGTCCCCTTACTTGAGGCCTCTGCCATGACACGGCCCCCTTTTTGGTTCAGAAGTTCCGGTTTAGGGTTTAGGGTTTTAGGGTTTTAGGGTTTTAGGGTTTTAGGGTTTTAGGGTTTTAGGGTTTTAGGGTTTAGGGTTTAGGGTTTAGGGTTTAGGGTTTAGGGTTTAGGGTTTAGGGCTTAGGGTTTAGGGTTTAGGGTTGGGAGTTCAGGGTTAGGGCTTTTCAAAGCGCGCTGTCCAAATCACTTCCGCCGTGGCCCAGACACACATGGACTTGTCCCGGGCGTCAGAAAACTGTCCATCCTCAGAGAAGTCCAGGAAAATAGGAGGAGTGGGGGAGAGGGGGGGTGCGGGTGTTGGGGTGCGGGTGTTGGGGTGCGGGTGGGGGTGCGGGTGGGGCTGCAGGTGGGGCTGCGGGTGGGGGTGCGGGTGCCGGGGGGGGGGGGGGGGGGAATACAAAAGCAAAGCAAAAAACCAGCATCAACAACAACTTACTCACAGGTTCCAAATACTCCAAGTGCTGCAACCTACAGCATTTCTGGCTGTTCACAGGGAGCTGTAAATTACAGTGCTTCTGACTGGTCAGAGGCTCCAAATGTTGTGAATTGTAATATTTCTCCAAATCCGATAAAACCCCGCAATTATGCAAGTTCACTAGGCGCCAAATGATGAAAAACAAACACAGCATCCCCCACGTTTGTAAACACCATGGCTTCTAGTCATAGTGTTAGCAAAAGTAGCAGTATGAGTAATTGTGTTAGTACTATCCATAGCAGCAATAGTAATGGTAATAGTACGAAATGATGGTGATAGATAATATTCATGGTCACAAAAAGCCCCTATGCCTGAAACAAGAACCCCGATCCGCCCAGATGCGAAAGTTTGCAACTCAGTGCTCCAAGTAAGCGCCCGAAACAGTCGGAGGCGCGCCGTTCAGAGCTCATTCTTGCTTTGGTTTCGCGAAGGAAGGAGGGTGGTATAGATGCTAACGACTATGTGCCCTGTCTTACAAATTTTTGCGTCGTCGCAAAACTAAGTGAACAGGTGGGGTAGGCTTCAATGCTCATGCTCCCTTAACCCGCACAACCCTGGGCTTAGGCTCCCTGAAGGCCCAAGCATCGCACCAAAACCCGAAATCGTCCGGCGCGCCCGCTTCAATCCCTCAACCCTAAACCCTAAAAACCGCTTCAACCCCAAACCCTGCGCATCACCCAGGGGCCCCCGCAATCGATCGAGCCTCAGGCGCTCCAGGGGTTTGGGGTTTAGCGATAGCTTGTAAGGTTCACAGGAGGATTGGGTTTAGAGTTTATTGCAACAGGGTCCTGAAAACTTGCTTATAGTGAAGAGCCGCTTTATGCCCCGCTAGCCACCATTACTGTTTGGGGGGGGGGGGGGGGGGGAGGGGCTACAGCTCGATTGCAGGTCCTAATCACATGGCAGTTGCATGGCTTTTCCTACCAGTACTTCGTGTCCTGAAGATTGGGGGCTGCTGCAAGACGTGTGGACCCCACACCCTAAACCCTAAAAAGGGGTTAGGACTGCAAGGTTTAGGGGCTCATGGGTTTGACTACATGGGGCTTCGAGGTGTATGGCGATGGCTCTGTCAGGTCCTGGGCCGACCCGCAGCAACGAATCCATCGAACGCACTCCGCAGCCAAACGTTCCCTGCAAAAAACGCAGCAAACCCGGAAGCCAACCCTAAACCCCAAACCCTAAACCCTAAACCCTAAACCCTAAACCCTAAACCCTAAACCCTAAACCCTAAACCCTAAACCCTAAACCCTAAACCCTAAACCTTCAGAAGGCCGTAAGACCATCTCGAGCCCTGAAGGCCCTCTGGGCTGCCCTGCTGAAGAAAGGTTTGGAGGGGCGGCTCACTTTGGTCCCGCCACCAAGGCACCTCTTTAAGGGGGACGGGGGGGGGGGGGGGGGGGGGGGGGGGAGGGCTTGAAACACGTCATGATATGTGCATTAGAGAATATAACATTTGTATGTATATATGTATATATATATATCTATGCATACAGTATCAGCAACTTCGTGTAGACATATTGTGTTTTTCAAAAATTATTCAAAAATAATAAGAATAATACAACATGGTATGTCATGTTCTAACATCATACAATAATATATTGTATTCTACTAAATAGTACTATAACCCTTGCAATCATGGGAGGTTTGCTCTGAAAATGAGGGCCTTGTGGGCTGCGTAGGGCTTAGGCCCTAGGATTTTCTCACATAGAATCTACCGATGAGCTCCCGGATGAGCGTCGTTATTCAGACTTGAGGTCTTCGTACCCTATTGTGGAAACCGAAGCTCTGCGGAGTGAGGTGAGGGAATGAATCAATGAAACCAGTATGAGGTTTCCGTAAGCCCTAAATCCTAAGCCCGAAAATGAGGGTAATTAGGGCGCCTTTGCTGGGAGATACCCGAATAGGCTTCCCCTTGAGTTTGGCCAGGGTCACCCGGGTCTTCCAGAAGGCTCTCCAACGTTCTTAGTTAACTAGAAGCCCTTTGCCCAGCGCAGCTTAGGGGTTGACGGTTAAGGCTTTGGCTTTGGGGGATTGGGATCTGGGGTTTTAAGCTCTAGCCCGTTTAAACCCTAAACCTCAAAATCCGAAAGCCCACACTAGATGTCGATTTCAACAGTCCCTAAAAAATTATAATTAGAAATTAGGGCTCCATATTAAGTAATAAGGGAATTTACAAATTTTCCCAAAGTCGATACCTAGCTCCACAACCCTAAGCAGCTACTTAGAGTTCACACGGGCCCTTGGGCAACTGAGAGACGCGTCGAGCCCCGGACCACAATCTGCGGCCCAGACCACACCTTGTCCCCCAGCCTGCGCACTTTAGCCACACAACCAACAGGTTTTTGTAGAGGAATTGGTAGGTTTACTTAGCTCATGTGCGACAAACGCATGGGGCTTTAGGAATCGGGGGACGGCCGGTGTAAAATGCCAGGCAGGGTTTAGGATTTAGGGTTAGGGTTTAGGGTTACATGCAACATTACTACTTCCCCCTGTGCTGCATGGTTGTCGACAACATGCGCGATGCTTTTGTTTGTGAATGGAAGATGTCGTGTCCTTCGCGTTCATGGCTGAGGGTTGTTGGCGTAAACAGTAGAAAAGGAACGGCTCCACAAATACGGAACTAGGGCTGCTGGTGCCCGAAGTGTGCCATTTAATTCGTGTAGTCGCGGGCAACACCATCACAACCACAAGAACAAAAGACATGAGTGGAGCAGGCAGTTGCGCGTTAGAAAACTGCCGCTCCCTGGAAGAAGTGGCCGACCAGCAAACCAAAGCGACCAACACGAACCAGTGATCCAGCAGCCCTCAACCTTCCCATGGACCGAGGCCTCAAACCCAAAACTCTACAGCACAAGCCAGGCCTAGAAACAACAAAAACATGAAGCCTGGCCAAACCCCAAACCAGACCCCAAGCCCCTGAATTACAAACAACCCTAAACCCTAAACCCTAAACCCTAAACCCTACTACCACCCCAAGCGCCAAGCTCACACTTCAGCATCCGCACGGAGCACTCCGAGGCCTAAGAAACCCTTGGAAACCAGCCATTGGCTGGTTTAGGGGGTTCGGACCCCTAGGGTTTAGGGTTTAAGGGTTAGGGTTTAGGGTTTAGGGTTTAGGGTTTAGGGTTTAGGGTTTAGGGTTTAGGGTTTAGGGTTTAGGGTTTAGGGTTTAGGGTTTAGGGTTGAGTGCCCAAGTTTGGGGCTCAGGGTGCTCCAAGCTTAGGGTTTGGGAGGGTTTAGGGCTGAGGTTCGGGGTTTAGGGCATCAAGGAGGGCTTTACTTCGCTCAACGGGGCCTTGTTTTGGAGGGGAATTTGAGGTTGTAATTGGGGGATTTGCAAACTGAGGGAGGCTTATGCGTCGTCGTAGGAGTAGGTGTAGGAGCAGGAGTAGGAGTAGAGCAGCAGCAGTCATCGCTGTTGCAGTATTTCTAGGACTTGTAAGAGAACTTGTCCTCGCACTACCTGAAATTTTGGAAGGAAGACCAGAGGTAGTAATATTCGAGAGTATCTGTGAGCCTAGCAAATAGTACTAGTCGAAACAAAAATAGCAATAGTATCAGGAGGAGGACCCAGGCGGCGGAGGAGGAGGAGGCGGAGATGTAGAAACCTTGACCGCTGAAAGTGAAGCCGAAGTAACGACCCCCGTGCCAAAGCATCTTAGAATCTGAAGAAGCAGTCAGTGTGAAACAGGTTAAGGGTTTTAAAGGGTTTAGGGTTTAGGGTTTAGGGCTTCTTAACCGCTTGAGATGCCTGGATGTTCGTATTCAGGCCGTTAGGGTGTGAGGGGCGCAAGGAGGCTACGCTGTCAGTTGCAGGGGTTCATTGATTCTGATTGCCGCTGGAACCCTGGAGCCTGGAACCTGGAACCCTAAACCCTAAACCCTAAACCCGAAACCTAAACCCTAAACCCCAAACCCTGAACCTGAATCCTGAAACCCAAGAAACAGCTCCTGGCACGTTCCGCCAGAGATCTTCGACGCCGCAGAGCGGGTGGCTTTTGGGTTTGGGGGATTTGGGTGGGCTTTGGGTGTTGCATTACTTTGGGTTACATAATTCCTACACAATCCCCACATGCAAATCGACTCTTTGCTATGCGTGATGGCACCCTGCAATGAGGCATGCAGAAGCTGATGTGCATCGATCCAAGTGTACAGGGAGACAGAATGTGCTAGGTTTGCAGAGCCTACGAGCAAACAGATTGGCTGGGTTCAACCCGCTAGGGGCTTTGGAAGCCTCCAGAGATGCAGATGTAGTCAGTAAAGTCAGTAGGAGTCACCACAGCCAAAGCTCCGCACAACTCGATTCCAGGGCTCCGGTCACTGTTTCTGCAGGAGTTCTGAGGGAGTTCAAGCAGACCCTCTGAGGGCGGTGCGGAATCGTGGCGCACTTCCTGCATCTATCCCTACAGCGCCTCTCACTACTGCCCCTGCGCACCAACCCTGCGCAATGTGGCATGAAGGTGCGCCCCCACCATGCAAATGAAGTCCACGACCCTCAAAGCTTATGAGCAGAACCAACAATCCTACACCGTAAGCAGGCTGATCCCAAAACGTCCAGGGAAACTCCCCAGCATGAAGGGCCAAGCGCAGAAAATCTTCCTAGACCCGGAAGTAGCCTAGGAAGAAGGAGGGTGCCCTTCTTGGGTTTAAAGGGCCTATAAGGGAGCCTAAACCCCAAAAAAAGGGAATCAGGGCCTTGCTCTGGGCTCTAGCTGCCCTCAGGCCTGGACCCCTAAATCCTGAACCTTGCAACCCCTATCAGCTGGCGAACCCTGAACCTACATCCCTTGAAGCCCTCAACCCTAAACCCTAAACCCTAAACCCTATAAACCCTAAACCCTAAACCCTAAACCTCAAACCCACGGCCTCTCAAACCTGAATCCATGATCTGAAGCGCATGGACTCAATGGGAGCTTGGGGTCCTGAGATCCGATCCCCGAACCCTTTAGGGTTTTGGGTTTAGAGCTTATAGGGTTTCGGGCGGAACCCCTAACCAGGGCCTTGTGAAAGGTATTTTCTTTGAGAGGCATTAGGGTTTGCAATAAATGACGGGGCTTGGAAGAAGGACCCACTTAAGAGCAGACCCCACGCAGGGCTAGGGGTAGGATGCTTGCCTTCAGAGCAAGAGCCATTAGCACCCCTTTGCCTGCTCCATTGCTATAGGGGTGGGGGGCGTCCTCGAACCCTAAGCCCCATAACCCTAAACCCTAAACCCCAAACCCTACGTAAGAGCTAAGATCAACTTCCTACTTTTCGAAGCGGCCTCCACAGCCAAGGAAAAGCCTTCTACGGCCGTTGGCTCCCAATAGGGCGCCAAGGCAAAACCATCCTCTCCGTTGGGAACTTGAGGGCGAACTTAGGATTTAGAGTGCTTTGGGCTTCGGGTTCTAGGGGATTTGTGTAGAGACGCTTTAGGGTTCAAGAGTTGGCTTGGCCAGGGCAGTTAAAGCTTTTGGTCAGGTTATTGGTAGAATCGTGCAAGGCACGCAGAACTGCCACAGTCGCAGTTCTTTTCCAGGATTCGTGAACTTGGGTTGATACAAGAAAGACGGGGCTACATTCAATACGGGCGCAAGGACAACTATGCATGCTGCATGGATATGATTTGTTGTGTCGCGAGCCACTTTATCACGTTGAGAGAACGCAAAGGTGCTACGTGCTGCAATTACTATATGCACTCCCCGTGTAACTGTGCACAGCGGCGCCACGACAATTGCTGATGCTTGTGGGTCGGCGCTGGATGTTGGGCCAACAACAGTGACACTGCTTGCTTCAGATGCCACCACCCAAATTGCAATCACTGAACTCTGCCCTACATTGGGGGGGTCATCTAAATTGATACGGGCCCTTTCTGGCACACAGGCAAAGGGCAAGAGACACAAACAAAAACAGAAAGGGTCAATAAGTTAGATCAAGCCCCGTACGTTCCCCTTCTCCAAAAAATGCCCAGGGGAGTGCAAGGCAAGTCCATCCCTTGCATCTTGAAGATACCCTATAGGCTTAGGGTATGAAGGTTCAGGTTGGGATATTCCACCTTATAGTAACTTTATGGGGACTATCATAGGGGGTACTATAATCCCTGTTAAGGACTGTTAGTATAGGGGGGAGTATCCCAAAAGATACCCTAGGTTTCGGGTCTGAGGGTTCAGGGCTGAATAAGAGTTTCTCGGGTTCCATCCTAGACCCTCAACCCTAAACCCTCAACCCTAAACCCTGGTAGCATGTGCTGACCTGGGCTGCGTCCGAGGAGATGTGGCCTCACCACTAGGCTGTGCGGCCAATCGCATGGCCAGGGCTGTAAGCTGAAAGTTGCTGATTGGGGCTTAGGGATTAGGGGGACCCTTGGGGATATAGACCCTCTGAATAAGGTCCCTTGGTTAAGAGAGCCAGAAGAGGGTTAAGAAGGGGTTCCCTTTTAAGGGTCGCCCTTATCCCACCTAGGATTAGGGCTCCCCCGTATTCAAACAACCGTCAGTAGGGATTTCAGTACCTCTGATTATAGTCCCTACTAGGGACTGTTAGTATAAGGGTGAACATCCCAAGTGGCTGAACCCAAAGGAGCCCAAGCCCTGGAGCACCGAGAGCTGCCGTCTAAGAGCTGGCGTTGAGGAGACAATCCGCAGACATACCTCCGCACCCCCCTCCGCTCCCCCTCTCCGCCGCTCCCCCCCCCCCCCCCCCCGCCTTCCTCCCCCCCAAAAAAAGAGCTCTCGGCCCGAAAGCAGCACCCTATAGGGTCTAGGCTTAGAGTTCAGGGTTTCCGACAGCACTCCTAGCTCTGTCAAGCTCTACGCTTTCCTCAACCTCGAAGTCGACCCACTCACGCTCTGTTCAACCTGAGGGTTTAGGGTTTAGGGTGTAGGGTTTAGGGTTTAGGGTTTAGGGTTTCGGGTTTAGGGTGTAGGGTTTAGGGATGTTCCCCTTCTACGAACAGTCCTTAATAGGGATCAGAGTACCCCCTTTCATCCCCATTAAGGTCTATTCGGAGAAGGGGGAGCATCCCGAGGTTACGGTTTTGGGGAAGCCCAAGCCTGATGCAGTGGGAAAATCCGATGCCCGAAGCCCCAGACGTCGCAGACCCCAGAGCCCGACTGGCGAAGAAAAAGCCCTTATTCACCTACAAGCACGCCCAAAAACCCCTCCCGCTTCGAACTTTCTCCCCTACCCCCCCCCCCCCCCTTAAAACAAGAGAAAGGCTCAGGGTTCAGGGCATTTCGAGGTTTAGGGTTGCAGTGCTTTGGGGGGCAAACATGACTCGACTCGGCATCCTATACCACCGAAAGGGAGCCTCAAAACAACAAACCTTAACCCCAAAACCTGAACCCTAAACCCCAATCCCTAAACCCTAAACCCTAAACCTTAAACCCGAAACCCAGAACTGCAAATCTACCTGGAGCATCCAGAAGCCCGTGAGCCAAGCATGGCATCTACCCATGTTCTTGGTAGGGGTGCCGTGAATTGGGCCACCACTTCTCAACCGAAACCATCAAGGGTTGTGCGATATTCGGGGGTACCTTATTAAGGTCATTATTACAAGGGAATCCTACTATTTGGGAGTCTATTTTCGGGGTCCCCCTATTTTCGTAAACCGCCATAAACCGAGAAGGAACCCCAAAAGCACTAAACGGTTGACTCCGAACTAAGAACCTTAAAGTTTGACGACAGACTTTGTCGTTGCAACCACGCGCACTCCAACTTTGAACCCCAAGTCTTCTTTGAAGGTTCATGGGTTACCTGTAACTAGAATTCTACGTAGGGTAGCTGTGTTGTAGATGCACACATGCACCCATGCGCCTTCGAGCGGCTGAGGGTTTATGGGTTCAAGTAAACCTCGAACGTCTGGGAGCCCAACCATTGAGCATGACCTCAAGGGTGAGAGGGGTAAGGTCTCGAGGATCTGGATCTTGTGTTTAGAGTTTGAGCTTTGAAGGTTTACGATTGCACAGCTGCACAGGGTGAAAAATGAAACAGTTTGTCCTTCCTTTTGGGGCTTCTTTGGGGTACCTGATGATCTCGTCCTCAAAACATCGGAGTTCAAAAGAAACTTGGGCGTAACCCTAATCTGTGGACCCTTAAAAAAGTCTCATGGGCCCCTTAACAGTTTAGAGATGAAGGGCTTTGGGCCGTGACTTCAGCGGGAACACCGCCACCACCACCCACCTAGAACTCCCTGCTATCCTCAAGCCCTAACACTTTAGGTTTAGGTCTCCTTCGCTTGGGGAACCCTTAGCTCCCCTGCATACTCTTTGCATTTAGTTGTTGCCAGAAGCGAGGAATGGCAGCTAGTGCCTGATTAGCTTTGTTAAGCTGACCGGGCTATTGCACTTCAGTACTGGGATTTTCCCCTTTTTCTAACAGTCCTTCATAGATTCTGTAGTACCCCTTATTCTAACCCCTATATAAGAACTGTTAGCATAAGGGGGAACATCCCCACTTCAGAAGACAAGCCTCTTAAGCCATCACTTGAGGTCACGGCGATGACCGCTGGCCGCAGGTGGAGGACCATGTGCCAAAAGTGCCCAACAGTCTTGGGCAGTGGATGCTGGGTCCTTAGGCTGTTCTTTTTTGGTTTTAATCTATTTTTGGGAAGTGTGAAAAGGGGGCCACCCCAAAAACCCCCTAAACCCTTACACCCTACATCGTGACACCTTTAGGTGTTGCAGTTTAGGGGGCCCGAAACCCGAAGCGCCTGACCGGTTCTTTGGGAAATTCGGGACCTAAGGTTCTGGTTTTCCGGTTCCAGGCCTTGGTGTTTAGGGAAGCAGGGCTTCGCGGGCTCTTAGGTACTAGGCTGCCCAGTAACCTAGGCTGAAAACGGGTGCCCTTCTTTGCTTGAAGGGGTGTATAGGGGAACCTGAACCCCCAAAAGAGAATAAGGGTACTACTGGGCATCCTAGGGTAGGGGTTTCGGGTGAGCAGGATAAGGGTTAAGCAGATAATACAGGGGCCATAATAATTAGAATAGGGGGGGCTATTCTACTAGCGGCTGCGTGACCGAACTACTCCGGAGCTCAGGGCCTGAAGTCCGAATCCCAGCCCCTAAACCCTAAGCCCTAAACCCTAAACCCTAAACCCTAAACCCTAGGGTTTAGGGTTTAGGGTTGAGGGGGTCAGTGTGTTTAAGGCTCGCTTGGGGCCCGCATGAGATCGAAGGATGGCCCTCAGGACAAGGTTTCGGATCCTTTCTGGCTGGTTAGGGTTTAGGGTTTAGGGTTTAGGGTTTAGGGTTTAGGGTTTAGGGTTTAGGGTTTAGGGTTTAGGGTTTAGGGTTTAGGGTTTAGGGTTTAGGGTTTAGGGTTTTCGGGTGTATGGTTTAGGGTTTCAGGTTTAAGGTTTAGGGTTTAGGGGTTATCCAGGGTTTAGGGTTTAGGATAGTGTATGGGGCTGAGGGTTCACGTCATGGGCATTCAGTCGCTAGTTGCGGATTGCTACTTCTGATTCTGGGGAGGGGTGCGGTTAAAGAGCCACGCCGAATGAAGTCCGCAAGCCTTTGAACAAGTGAAACTCGTGTATCACTGAGCCAGACAACACTCTGAAACCTACGCCCTAGGCCCATAGACACCATAGACCCTCCTAAACCCTATAAACCCTGAACCCTAGAGACCCTAAACCCTAAACCCTAAACCCTAAACCCTGAACCCTAAACCCTAAACCCTAAACCCTAAACCCTAATTAAACCCTAAACCCTAAACACAGAGCCTCTAAACCCTGAACAAAGCAAACATCAGAGGAGTGGGCACAAGGTAGGAGACCGCATCCGGCACAACGCCCGGCACGCGGGCGGCGTTGATGTACGGCCTTGGCGGCATTTTATGCCCACAAACCTCGTCGCACCCATCAAGACAGATATAAGTGATATCAGGGCACTGGCTGAGGTATCGAAGAAGGTGCAACGCAGATAGAGAAAGAACATCTCTGTAAGCTTACATTTCTACAAGAGGCCTTCGCTGAATGTCCTGAGCCAGCCTGGCTGCAACTGAGCACCCGGCACGCCCACAGCCTCACAGCTCCAGTAACCTCTACCCGGCACCTACCCCTGCTTTGGAGTGGACCCTGGAAAAAAAGGGTCTATACTTTTTAGGTATAAGTAGCTATGGAAAAAGGGTCTATACTTTTTAGGTATAAGTAGCTATAACAGGAACCCAGAACCCAAAGAAACATTAAAGTATAGTGCTCCAAAACGCAGCTACGAAACCTTGTCGCCCTTTCGAAGCATCGAGCATTCAGGATGTGTGCAGTAGCCGTTGCCTCTTCTTCTTGGGGGCACTTACGTGAGCTATCATGGCCCGGCCGGGCCCGGCTGGAAACGATGGAGCATGTGTGTTTCTTCATGGCTGGAGAAGCCGAGAGCACCTACGCGACTGGCTACTTGGTGGGGGGGTTAAGTCGGCCCAAGCCGTGCGAAGTCCACGCCTCGATTGGCAAAAAGTCGACCCATGGACTGTAAATCCCCAAGCACACGCTTGTTTTAAATTCGCGCGGCCCTATGTGCAAAATCGGCACGCGGTGCGAAACTCTCCTTTAAAACTGCATCGAAATAGCATGGAAACAAGTTCAAAACCTTTGGAAACTGCAAGTGCACGCCTGGTTTTGGACAGCACAACCACGATGCACATAGCGAAGCTTGAGTACGAAACACATGCAGAAAAACCACGTTACAGCACGCGAAGCGAACGCCGCTTGAAATGGGATTTTGCAAGGTCACTCTCCATTTTCTGCAGGGAGTCCAGAATGAAACAATGGAATCCTCAAGGCCAAGACTTGGTTTGAAGCAGGGGTGTTGAACGTGGCCCTGCGCGAGGCCCGCGCAAGGTTCCGCGAGGTCCGGGCGAGGTCGCGCTCTAGGACTGGCCCCAAACTCGAAGGCAGCAACCCCGATGTGAGATCACACGGCAGAATCCCCTAATAAACTAAGACTAGCAATAGCTTGTCTAGGGAAACTCAGCCATGCCTCTCTTGCCTGAAATTAGTAAGAAGGCCTACTGCCGCTCAAGAACCCCATTGTCATGCTAAACTAAGCCCCGTGAGACATGTGCATCCCCAACATCGAAAACACGAGTTGAATAAGTAACTCTTCAAGGTCATGCTGTGGCGGATCAATGCTTTTATGTACCCTCCCGAGCCTACAAACTACAGCCTGCGTGCATAGATCCCCAAGTTCACGCTGTCGCGGGTCGACTTTACACAACGCGGGTCAACTTAACCCCCGTACCCAGTAAAGCTCGTGAGAACTGTGCGCAGCAAGCTGTGTGCTGAGTGCAAGCACCGAGGGCTTGATCCTAAAATGTTCAAAGTCGAAAAAAACACATTGAGATGCCGTTGCGGATCACGTGGTGTTAACAGGTTTTCCAGCATTTTCATTACTTTGGCCAGCCTCAGTTTCTTCAGCCGGTCCAAACGCTCAACATGATTGCTCGGCATAGGTGTTTATGTTCCCCCAGTCAAAACATCCAAAATCAAGGCGTATGTGTTTCCGAGGCGTTGTAACTACCAAGCCAAAGCAGGTCCTCACTGAAAAACTAAGCTCCTTGCCTTGGATCATTACTAAACCCAAGAGTAACCTTGGAATAAATGGGTGCCTTTTTTGCTCTAAGAGGCTTATTAGGGAACCTATAGCCTTAAAACAAGAGAATAGGGGCTTCTCTGGGTCATAGATGAGCTTGACAAGGTCCTATACGGGACCCTTTTCCAGCCACCACCCTAAACCCTAAACCCTAAGCCCTAAACCCTAAACCCTAAACCCTAAACCCTAAACCCTAAACCCTAAACCCTACACCCTAAACCCTAAACCCTAAACCGAGGAGGACCGAAGCTGAGGGTGCACGGACCAACACGTGCTCAGGGCATGGCGCTCAGGTCCACCGCAAAAGCCTGCAAAGGGTTTAGGGTTTAGGGTTTAGGGTTTAGGGTTTAGGGTTTAGGGTTTGGGTTCAGGGTTTAGGCCTACACCCCTCGGGTTTAGGGGGGGTTCATCTTGCTACTGTTTGCTTAAGAACCCCAAAGGAATGAAAATAATAATAATCCCTATATTGCCCTTAATAAGGAAGAATATCTTTCATTTTTGGGGTTTCTTAAGCAATTAGTAATCTGGCACAGGGTCTACCGTCAAGGCCCTCAGACTCGGGGTCGAAGGTTTAGGGCTTTAAAAAGGGGTCCTCTAGAGCTGGAGGCCTGATGAGATGCTCTGGGAGTATGGGATGCAGTAGAGCATGCTGCAAATTTAAATGCACGGCTCGAGGTACATGTGCCTGCCTCTTTTGGCTATGTTTTTCTGTGTTTGTATTTGTGTGTTTTGTTTCCCCCTCTCTCTCTCTGTCTCTCTCTCTCTCTCTCTCTGTCTCTCTCTCTCTCTCTCTCTTCGCTTTTCTTTGTTACGTTCTTTCGTTTCGGCGAGAAGGTCGGACGCCTTTCTCCCTCTCTCGGAACTCCTTCTTGCTCTTGTTATTTTGTTTCTCATTTCTTTTTCATTTTTCTGCCTCTTCTTCTTCTTGGTCTTCATCAGCAGCGCTCGGATGCGTCGCATCTACACTGAGCAATGAGCAAGCAGCACGTCAGCACCGCGCAGGAAATGTTGCTGATCGCAGCCCAACTGTGATGAATCGCACCATACGGACGGTCACCCGCAGCGATCCCCCCTGTCAGCTTAGGAAGTTACGACGCAAAGTATGCTACGTGTAACCTTCACCAGGTGCACACCCTACTCTAGAGGCTCTCTCTTTCAACCGACATGTGCACACATGCATGCATGATCCTTTCATCGTATTTGGTGAGTTCATCTTGGTAAGGCGATGCAGAAAGGCTGGGATTGGGAAGCCTCATGCACGTGGTGCCAAGCAGACGTCCACGGCACTCACAGCGGCTCTCCAAACAATAGTAAATAGTTTGGACCCACGTGACCTCTCCCCCTATATTCATACCTTCATACATTCAAGACAGGGGTTACCCTAACCCTAAACCCTAAACTCTAAATCCCCTCTTATGTTAGGGCAGGTGGCTTTGAGCATCTGAGGCCCTCGCGGGAAGGCTCCGATTACCGGTCGGTCTGTCCAGTCCCCGCGCCTTCTCCTTCGAGGCAAGGCATGGCTTATCGCTTCTCTAGGGTTTAGGGTTTAGGGTTTAGGGTTTAGGGGTACATAAGTTTCGCAGGATGTTGAATGTCCCTATGCTTTTGGGCGGATATAAAAGGTTGATTGTCGGTCCGTTTTTCATTGTGGTTAGAAGGGGGGTTTGGGGTTTATAAGTGAACTACGGAGAAACAAGCTTTGTCTCATTGGGTTGAGAAGTCTACTATAGTGGCCTCAGAAGAATGCGCAACAGAAGCGGCGCCGAATGCTGCGGAGTGAGTCTTGGGGTGTAGGCCTAAACCCTAAAACCTAAACCCTAAACCCTAATCCTATGGGGACTTAGGGACGTTTAGAGCTCATGGTTTTTGCGCTCACATCTGGCTGATACAGGGAGCACTAGACTCACAGACTCATGCCAATGCCTCAGTTGAAAAGGGCTTGG